AGGTCTGGCAGCATCTGTGAAGGAGAAAACAGAGTTAACGTTTCAGGTACGGTGACCCTTCCTCAGAACTCTGAGGAAGGGTCACCAGACCCGAAACATTAATTCTGTTTTCTCCTTCACAGATGCTGCCAGACCTGCTGAGCTTTTCCAGCAACTTCTGTTTTTATTCCTGATTTACAGCATCTGCAGTTCTTTTGGTTTTTATCTCTGTCTCAGGCTTGCTGCAGTGTTCCAGCAAAGCTCAGCGCAAGCTGGAAGAACAACACCTCATTTTCCACTTGGTGACCCTGCAGCCCTCTGGACTCAATATTGTGTTCAATAATTTTAGAACTTGAGCTCTCCAATGTCCTAGTCTCCTAGCCCACACACCAGGCCTTGTTATCATATAGTCTGACATTACACTATCTATTGTTAGCCACTAATAGTCTCCATTAACAGCTATTTACCCTCCTAGCCAGATCGTTATCAACTCCTTTGTCTGTCCAACTGTTTTTCTCTCTCTTTGGGCTCTATTTCCACCTCTCATTCATTCTTTCCCACCACCTTTATCTTCTGCATATAAACCAACATGTTCCTAGCTACCATTAGTTCTGAGGAAGGGTCACCAGCCCTGAAACGTTGACTCTGATTTTTCTTCACACATGCTGCCAGACCTGCTGAGCTTTTTCAGCAACTTCTGTTTTTGTTCTTTTATGAATCATGTGGACAGCTCAGCTCCTGGCAAAGAACAGGCTTAAGTAAAGCAGCTGTGAGGCAAGAATTGAATGGCAAAATAGAGCTACTTTTAGTTTGAGTCACATTCAGTTCAGTTTTCATTTATGTCCCTTCACTGATTTTCTTTTTAGCTACCCCCACTGCTTCTGATTTTTTCTGCAGTAACTTTCATCATTGTAACTCTTGGTGTGCTTTAGATTTTTGCAGCAAAACTTTTAGTTATTTGCCAAACATATAGTTCTATTAATTTCTAAAAGCAAATCGTGTATAATCTGTATCTGTTATTTTGGCTGAATGAAAGGAGAGATTGATGTAGTAGTATGCAACATATTCATGCTGTTGACAGCAAGATAAATGGTATTAAAGCTAGATCCACTGAAAGTTCTAGTTACAGCAAAGCAAATTAGTTAAACAACGCATTTGCTCAAGTTTGCATTTTAGAAGTATCAATTAGTATTTTTGTGGCGAGCCTCCAGTCTTTAAACATTCAAATAAAAAACCATTTATTGAAAATGTTTTCATATTTGAATGCATTTGAAAGTGTTTTCTCTAATTCAACTCATTATGTCTCTCAGATGCAGCTGTTGGATACCTTCCCAGTGGAAGGAGGCCAGAAGGACCCAAAGCAGCGCTATATTCCTTTCCTGCCAGGTACAGTAACACATGCAATCAGTTTTCTTTCTTGGTCTCACCCTGAAAACCTCTCCTTTTTTGGGCCCTAAAAACAGCACAAATAGATTTTGTTTGTCTACAATTTACTTTGTGACATTAATGATAGATGTTGATTGGTCTTTTTGTTTCATTCATTATTAGTCACTGACAAAGTTAGCATTTATTGCCATTGAGATGGCGGTGGTAAACTTCAGTATGTTAGCTGAAGGTACTCCCAAAACACTGTTAGAGTGGGAATTCCAGGATTTTGACCTAACGACAACGAGAGAACAGGAAAATAATGGCATAGCATCTGACTTAGAGGAAAACTGCAGGTGCCTGTGGTCTTGTGTGCTTGCTGCCCTTGATTTTAGGTCATCGGTTTGGATGGTGTTTTCAGAGAGCCAAGATGAATTGCTGTATGCATCTTGTAGATGGTACACACTGCTGCCAGGGATTGTTTAAGGTGGTGGGTGGGGTGCCAAACAAATGTGTTGCTTTGTCCTGGATGGTGCCAACTTTCCCAATGCTATTGGAGCTGCATTCATACAGACAAGTAGAGAATTCCATCACATACAGGACTCATGCCTTTGAGATGTTTGCTAGGCTGTGGAGTATTGGGAGGTGAGTCACAGACTACCTACCTTCTGACTTGGTATTATTTCCACAGTATGTATACAGCTCATCCAATAAATTGTATTGTCAATGCTCGCTCTCAGAATGTCAATGTTGGAGAGTGTGACAGTTATGATGCCAATTGAATGTCAAGGGAGATGTTTAGACATTCTCTTGGAGATGCTTGTTACCTGGCACTTAGGTGATATAAATGCTGTTCATCGCCTATTAATTGTTATCCAAGTCTTGCTTTATGCAGGCATGGTGGTTTCTAGGAAGTTGCAAATGTTACTGAGCACTGCAGTCATCAGAAGGCATTCCCACATCTGACTTCAAGAGAGGCCAGAACATTGGTGAAGCAGTTGAACATGGTTGGGCCTAGTATGCAGCCCTGAGGAACTTTTGCAGAGATGCCCTGGAACTGGGATGATTGGCCAGCAACAACCGCAGCCAACTGTCATTCTTGCTGCTAGATATGAGGTCAGCCCATGGAGAGTTTGCTTTCAGCTCCCATTATCTTCAATTTTACTCAACAGAGAGATTTGCAATTATTAGAGTTGGAGATTCCAAAGCATTTTTGTAATCACTGGACACCTCAAAACGTTCTTCAACCAATGAGTTCTTTCTTGAAGTGTTGTAACATTTGTATGTTGCCAATGTTTACATAGCAAGCTCCCACACACACACGTGCGTTAATAAGCAGGTGATCTGTTTCAGTGTTGTTGCTGGAGGGATAAAAAATGGGTCAGGATTCCATGGATAGCTTCAGTGCTCTTCTTCAGAAAATCCCATGGGTGGCACGGTGGCTCAGTGGTTAGCACTGCTGCCTCACAGTGCCAGGGACCCAGGTTTGATTCCAACTTTGGGCGACTGTCTGTGTGGAGTTTGCATATTCTCCCCTGTCAGTGTGGGTTTCCTCCAGGTGCTCCGGTTTTCTCCCACAGTCCAAAGATGTGCAGACTAGGTGGATTGGCTATGCTAAATTGCCCATTGTGCCCAGGGATGTTTAGGTTAGGTGGGTTAGACATGGGAAATACAGTGGTAGAGGAATGGGTCTGGGTGGGATGCTCTTTGAAGGTCGGCGCAACATCGAGGGCCGAAGGGCCTGTACTGCGCTGTAATGTTCTATGTTCTATGATTTTTTTTACAACCAACCAAACAGGAAGATGTGTTTAAAATCTCCAAGAGGTGAGAGTGCTACTAGGGCCCCTTGATGGCACACGCTTTATGAAATGTTGACTTGATAACGAGGGCCATTACTCTCAGCTGATATCTAGAATTTAGCTATTTTGTTTTCATTTGGACCAAGTCTGCAATGAGTCCTGAAGCTAACTGGTTCTGACAAAACCCAATGTGAACATCAATGAACAGGTTACTGGTAAAGTATTGCTTTATATAGCATATTCTCTGACCAATTTTCTTCATTTGCTGATGATTTGAGAGTAAACAGATATGGGGAGAATTACCCAGATTGAATTTGTTCTTCCATCTGTGGATTGGATATGCCTGGATAATTTTTCACTACGTTGGATAGTTGCAAGTGTTGGAGCTGTATTAATATAGCTTGGTTAGGTGTCCAACTAGTTATTGAGCACAGGTCTTCAGTACTATTGCCATGATGTTATCAGAACCTGTAGCCTTTGCTATATTCAGTGTTCTTGGCCATTTCTAATATCACGTGAAGTGAATTAAATTGCCCGAAAGTGATGGTGGGAATCTTAATCCATCTGACATGTTGAGATGAAGATAGTTACAATTGTTTCAGCCTTGTCTTATGCAATGATGTGCTGGGCTCTCCTATCATGGAAAATGTGATCTTTATGAAGTCTGCTCCTTCAGTAAGTTATTTAATTATCCACCGCCATTATTGATTGGATATGGCAAGACTTTAGAGCTTATATTTATTCCATTACTCATGGGATCACTTATAGAGTCATAGAGCATGGAAACAATAAACCCAACTAAACCAGACCCACCTGCCTGCGCTTGGCCTATATCCCTCCAAACATTTTTATTCATGTATTTATCCAAATGCCTTTTAAACGTTGTAAATGTACCCACAGTACTATATACCGAAGGGAAGGTGGAATAAGGAAGACAGACACTAATTTTGCAACTTGGACTAAAAAGCAGAAAGGAAATGTGGATACCTTCCTTCATGGAACATTCATTGTGCCAAGAAAGGGCACTACTCCCGAAAATCGTGCCCCACTTTGCACCATCTCTTCCCTGCCATCCCCAGTCTGTACAGCCTGACATTTTTTCTCTCCAGTTGCCATCTTTTGCTATGTTCCTGAACCAAAATGCTGTTCTTACCTTTTCAGTCAGGCACCCATGATCTTTCTTCTTGGGATTCCCCTTTTTCATCAGCCATGGCTTCAACTGCACTGTTATTATTTAGCTGTTCGTCAATCTGATTAGCCATCACCTCCAAAAGAGAAATGGAAGTCCATGGTAGCAGTTAAAGTCACTGCAGTGTAGATTTTTTTTTTAAATCAACACGTTCAGACATGTAATGGCACACACTGCTGTAGCAGATAGGATTTCAACCCAGGTTTGTTCACCCAGAGGTTGGGACACTACCATTGCACTATAAGAGTCCTCCACTGCCTATGGATGAATAGTGTGTGATAACCTCTTCTTTAATGTTGGCATCAAGAATAACTTTTCTATTGGGGAGAGGATGATGAATATACCTGCCCTATATTTGAATTAAAATTCACCCCATATTTGAATTAAAATGTTGCATTTAAATGACCACCCTTACAACATGCTTGTTTAAACGAATCCACATTTCGTTGCTTCACAGCTGGTATCTGCCTATACATAATTGCTACGACAGTCTTCAAACTTTTTATTAATCCCACCTAATAATTCTCGACTACTTGCTTACTTCTTGTTATATCATCTCTTAATAAAGAAATAATTTCCTTTTTAAATCTGAAATGCTACTACTTCTCCCTTTTCAGATTCCCTAAATGTCCAGCATGCACAATAATCTAACTGGTAGTTTTCTGGCACAGCCAACAAACCAATGTTTGACAAGTGTACTAATATTTTACTTTGAGCGTTGAGCAGTAATCAATCAGAAAGTACTTCCCCTGATTACTGAGTTTGACGATAAAGTTATAATTACTGGTAGCATAAATAACGTGCATGTAAGGAAGTTTTATGTTTTCCAATTCGGCAGCTGTTTGATTACCACATATGAAATTTCCCTGCTGATTCTGTAAAATGCAGTTGTGATTGTGAAATATAGCAAGGAGCAGAGTGATTGTGTCGTGAGTTTCTGAGCTTGGCATATCATTTGATATAGTCCATGTGGGGGAATTCTAGCCATGCGATCATGTATCCAAGTAGCCTGAGGTCTGCAGTGCCTTGACTGTGTTTGTGATCAGCTGGGACTGAAATTAATTTATATATCAACCTTGTAGTTGTTGTCTAGTCCTGTTTAGAACTAAGATTGTGATGAAAACCGAAAGAACTGAGTATGCTGTAAATCAGGAACAAAAACAGAAGTTGCTGGAAAAGCTCAGCAGGTCTAGCAGCATCAGTGAAGAAAAATAAGAGTTAATGTTTTGGGTCTGGTGACCCTTCCTGAGATTGTGATATGGCTAAAATGGAGAGAAGCTAAGTATTATCAATTCTGTCAAGTTGTTTATTTGCAAGTTCAGTTTTCAAACTTTGTCCCACTTACCAAGTTCTTTACCTGTGCCATTTTTAGCTTCACACAATTGACCTTGTTTTGAATTCTATCTCAATTTCATCTGCTGCCATCTCATTTTGTGCCCATCAACATAAAGGGATATTCTGAAATTTAGAGAAGGTTTTATTAGACCCTAAATATCTAACACACTGGGTGTAAATTTTCACCTCTGAGGAGGTCGTGGGAAGGGTTAATAATTAGATGAGTTGGCCTTGGATGGATACTCTTCCCTGTTTTTACATCACACATTGTGCTGGCTGAGAAGGCCTGTGGGAGTCTTCTCAACTCCCCACCAATTAAGATCCTTTAAATGGTCAATTAATGTTGGTGACTTGTCACCTCTCTGACTACCTTCATTCTTAGTGGGCGAGAAAGGTGGCTGGTTTCCTGACTGGGAAACCGTTGCCCTATGCCTGCTGAGGGTCTTCATTGGCTCCAATCTGGGACTAATTGGAAGCACGGATTGGGGTGGTCCCAAGGTCATAGTCTCTGAAAGCCAGCCTTCTGCCCATATCTCTGAATACTCTTGACATCGTCTCCTCGTCCATCCTACAAGAAGCAAAACAAAACTACTCACCTACTCGCCATTGAATGCCCTGAAAAGTAGCCCTCCACCAATGGTGAATTAGTTCTTATTAGTTCTTACCGAGCTACTAGGTCCACAATTCAGCAAGCTATA